CCATGTTTTTCAGGAGGTCAGTGTGTCGGCGGCTGGCCTTGTGCGTGTCCTGGTGGACCACCGGGACCTGGCACAGCCAACATGCGTCTGGGTGGTCGTCGGGTAGCGAAAAACGGGGCAGCGTATGCCCCCGTAAGGGCTGCAAGATCTGGGCGGGCAGCTGGGAAGGGTTTGGACGGGGCTGGTTCCTCCATCGCACCCTGGACACGAAGTGGACGGCCGCTTGGCCGTCCTGGGCCGTCCAGGTGGCCACGATGTGGCAAGGTGGCTTGCGCCGGGGTGGTCCTCCAGCCGCCGTCGAGACCGCTTCTCCTCGTGGGGTGGAGTCTCGTCTGCCCGCCTGGTCACTCGAGGCTCTCCGGTGCTCCACGTCTCCGCCGCCCTGCCTCTCTTGATGTGATCGAGGCCAGGGTTGATCACCCCGCCTCTGCCAACCGGGTTGACCACCCTGTTGGTTGGTCCGCCTTGTTCTTCGCCAACCGGGTTGACCACCCTGTCGGTTGGTCTGGTCGCTCTCCTGCCGAAGGGGTTGACCACCCTGTCGGCTGGTCTGGCTGGTCTCATGCCGAACGGGTTGGCCACCCTGTCGGCTGGTCTGGTCGCTCTCCTGCCGAAGGGGTTGACCACCCTGTCGGCTGGTCTGTCTGGTCTCATGCCGAACGGGTTGACCACCCTGTCGGCTGGTCTGGTCGCTCTCCTGCCGAAGGGGTTGACCACCCTGTCGGCTGGTCTGGCTGGTCTCATGCCGAACGGGTTGACCACCCTGTCGGCTGGTCTGGTCGCTCTCCTGCCGAAGGGGTTGACCACCCTGTCGGCTGGTCTGTCTGGTCTCATGCCGAACGGGTTGGCCACCCTGTCGGCTGGTCTGGCTGGCTCCGCCGGTACCGCAGGAAGTGGAAGGTCACCCTCATGGATGCGCCGCCCATTCTGGTCCCTCCGGGGGGGGCATATCTGGACAAAACAAGCTCTATTAACATCTGGTAAAGATTAGATCAAGTTCTAGGCCGCAGATTATAAAGCCGCGCAGAGCCCCTATCAGATCTCTCACCAACGGGTTCGCGCACTGTTCGGCTACCGCGCTTAGGCCGCGTTGCCGGTCGCACGCGAGAGCCACTCGGAAAGGAGGATTCCTTGTTTTGTTCTCGTTCATCGTCATCCCGATCACGAAGATGGTACTTTTTCAGGTCTGTGATGTGGACTGGGCCAGACTCCTCGCTCGCATTTTCCTGAGCGAGCCTGTAGGTAAGACGTGACAGTTGTGCCTTTACCACGTAGGGCCCTTCCCACTTCGGAGCAAGTGAGGCTGCTAATCCGCTCGCTGCATTGCTCAAAAGATAGGTTCTCCTGATCCCCAAGTCCCCCACCTTGTACTCCAGGTGACGATGACTCTTGTCGTACTGGGCCGCCTGTTCGATCCTTGCTGCATCGAGGTTCTCTCTCGCTTCGTGCAACGCATTCGAAAGGCGAACTTTCAACTGCGCCGCGTATTTAGAGAGTGGGCGTTCTGTCGAACCTTGGTTATTTCGTAACCCGTTCTCCAGCGGAGACGATGGTTCCGTACCCAAGTTGAGAAGCGCAGGCGTTAACCCAGTCGATCTGTTCATGGTCGTCCGGATTGCAAAACCCATTCGACTATGTGTTCGTCCCAGTCCCTGTGCCTCTCCGTTAGTGTGATCAGCATGCTCTTCAAGTTTCGGTTCACTCTCTCAGTGATATTAGCCTGAGGATGGTATGGTGTCGTCCTTTTGTGCTTTATGTTTAGTGCCAAGCAGGAGTCAATGAACACTCTGCTGGTAAAATAGCTAGCATTATCGCTGATGAGACACGTGGGTGTACCGAAGCGCATGAAAGTTTCCAACAACTTCTCCCAGATGCGCTCCGAGACCAGCTTCCTCAGCGGGTGTAACTCCACCCATTTTGAGAAATGATTGGTTATTACCAATAAATACTGGTTCCCACGGGGACGTTTTGGTAGTGGGCCGATGATGTCGCAAGCAACCATCTCCCACGGGTCGTGACTCACTACAGGCTGCATCAGGCCTGGGGGCTCTCCCCTCGTGGCTTTGCTTTCTGGCAGGCTGGGCAGCTTCGGGCGTATCGGAGTGTGTCCTGTCTCATCCCCGGCCAGGTCGCGACGCGACATAACTTATGAAAAGTCTTGCTGTCATGACCAACCAGAGCCGAGTCGTGGACGTATCCGATGAACCGCCTCCGTAGCCTCCTAGGAATCACCACCCTGAACGGAGAGTCGTTCCCCTCCTCGTCGTCGATTGTTGGGATGTAGCAGAGCAATAAGCCGTCTTGACCCAGCAGGTATGAATCAATATGTTCGTTGACTTGACCGCCAGCGTCCCCGGTGTTGCTTGCCATTTCCGCAATTGTCCCCAACACTTGCTGACAAAAGCCATCTTCCTTTTGGGCCTCGACATGCTCTTCCTTGCTCACCACTTCACCCCAAGCCACGATCCTTTGTTCCCTCGTGCGGCTTCCTAAAACTGCGACGAGCTCCTGTTGCATCGATCCCTCCCCGCTGTCTCGCTTAGGAGCGGCCGCGCGGGAAGCTTGTCTCTTGCAATCCCCTGGTTGCGTCTCCTCCTTCCAACTACTATCCTGGGGTGCCCGAGAAAGTGTGTCTGCAACCTTGTTGGTGGAGCCCTTTTGGTACTCTACAGTATAGGAGTATTGCTGCAAAGTGAGTGCTTACCGAGCTAACCTCCCCGCCGGCTCTTTCAACCTTTGAATCCAGGTTAGAGCGGCGTGGTCTGTCTGAATGACGAAGGTGGTCCCGTCTAAATACATAATTGAGTTGAGGCTAGAAAAAAAAAAGAAAAGAGCTGTGCCTCTGTCTGCTTCGCTTGCGCATGGCAGACTTAAACCAATCTAAAATAAATAAATGGGGTAGTGTACCAAAAAAAGTTAATTTTGCGTAGAAAAAAAAAAAATAAATGGAAGAAGAAGATGTAGGGTTGAAGAAGTTAGGAACTAGCGCCACCACAGCCCCGGGAACGGACCCGGTTTGTCAGCGGCTTTTATTTAATATGTATGTTGTTGCTTTTTCTATTTAGTCTTCCACTTGCTCTTCGCCCATGTTCTTGCTTCTTCCCCTTCTCTTCCTGCTCGGTCTTCCCCTCCCTCGGTCTTCTCCCTGGCTGTTCTTGGCCTTGGTGAGTCCTTGGTGGCGGCTGGCGGCTGACGACTGAAATGTCTAGTTTTTATCGTTATTTCCCCCCTCCCCAATTTGTGTCCCCTCGTGTTTCTAGGCTGTGTTTGAGGCTTATGTTTTACTATAATTGCTCTCGTTCTTCCCTGGACTGGGCCCCGGCCGCCCACCCTCCCCCTCTTTGGAAGGGGGAGCGGTGAGCGGCCAGGGCCCTTGTTCTGCTGTCCCTGACCTGTGCTGCGGCCGGTCAGCCGCTAGATACAACAGGGCCCCCGGTCGCAGAGCGTCCTCATTACCCATTGTAAGTTTTGTATTGTGTTTTTTTTTTTTTTTGATGCCCTCCACCGTGGCCTCTTTTTTTTTTTTGCTTTAGTTGTTTGTGATTTTAGTCCCTTTGTTGAGTTTTAGTTAAAAACCTTCATCCTTTTTTTCTTTTTTTTTGTGGGGGAGGTTCCGGTGGCTCCCCCATGTGGGTTCCCTGCTTGCGTTGCACCTTGGTCTATGTTTACAAGTTTGAAACGCACGTTTCTTTTTTTTTTTTTTACCATGTGGTAGACACCTATGAAGTTGTGGGCGACAGGAGGGCAGAGGGGGAGTGACTGGGTGGGTTTGGCCTGTCTTCTCAGCTGCGACTGAGGGGCCCAGGAGACATGTATCTGTTAAGGTGTGTTCTGTTTTTTTTTTTTTTGTAATGTAGCACTTTCTTTTCCTTTTCACCCTCTTTCCAACATTAATCTATGTTCCTGACTCTCTTCCTCAGTCTTCCTCCCGTCCCGAGTCCCACCTCCCTCCATCTCTCTGGATCCTTCTTAGAGGTTTTTTTTTTTTTTTTTTCTGTCTTTTTTTTTCTTCTTTTTTTTTTTTTTTTTCCACCTTACTACCCTGCCTGGGCTCTCGCGACTCGGCCCTAGGGGGGTCCCCCAGAACCGGGCGGGCGACCCTGGCTCCCCGGGGAGGATGCCTGTGGTCCCCAAGAACACCCAGGTGTTAGGCTGGATGCCCTCCGCCGTGGCCTCCTTTTTTTTTTTTTTTGGCTTTCGTTATTTGTGATTTTAGTCACTTTGTTGTGTTTTAGTTAAACGCCTTCATCCTTTTTTTTTTTTTTTTTTGTGGGGGAGGTCCCGGCGGCTCCCCCCTGTGGGTTCCCTGCTTGCGGTGTACCTTGGTCTATGTTTGAAGTTTGAAGTTTAAAACGCTCGTTTTTTTTTTTTTTTGACCATGTGGTAGACACCTATGGAGTCGTGGGCAACAGGAGGGCAAAGGGGGAGTGACTGGGCGTGACCGGGCGGGTTTGGCCTGTTCTTTCTCAGCTGCGGCTGAGGGGCCCAGGAGACATGTATCTATTAAAGTGCGTTCTTTTTTTTTTTTTGTAGCACTTTCTTTTCCATTTTACTTTCTTTCCAACATTCATTCATGTTCCTGACTCTTCCTCAGACTTCCTCCTGTCCCCAGTCCCACCTCCCTCCATTTCTCTGGCTCCTTCTTAGAGTTTTTTTTTCTGTTTTCTTTTCTTTTCTTTTCCCTTTTTTTCTCTCTTTTTTTGACCTTACTACCCTGTCTGGGCTCTCGCGACTCGGCCCTAGGGGGGTTCCCCAGAGCCGGGCGGGCGACCCTGGCACCCCGGGGAGGTTGCCTGTGGTCCCCAAGAACACCCAGGTGTTAGGCTGGATGCCCTCCGCCGTGGCCTCATTATTTTGTCTTTAGTTTCTTGTGATTTTAGTCACATTGTTGCGTTTTAATTAAAAACTTCATCCTCTTTTTTTTTTTTTTTTTTTTTGTGGGGGAGGTCCCGGTGGTTCCCCCCTGTGGGTTCCCTGCTTGCGGTGCACCTTGGTCTATGTTTGCAAGTTTAAAGCGCTCTTTTTTTTTTTCTTTTTTTTTTTTGACCATGTGGTAGAAACCCATGGAGTCGTGGGCAACAGGAGGGCAAAGGGGGAGTGACTGGCCGGGTTTGACCTGTTCTTTCTCAGCTGCGACTGAGGGGCAAAGGAGACATGTATCTGTTAAAATGTGTTCTGTTTTTTTTTTCTTTTTTTTTTCCTTTTTTTTTTTCTTTTTTAGTTGGGATTCGTTATTTTGTTTATTTGCTGTACTAATGCTTCTAAAGTTTTCATTATTTCTTCGTCGCTTACAATGTCAGGTTTGGATTCGTTTGTTAGGCCGGCTGGGTGGGTTGTTTTAAATGTGTTGCTCAATTCCTGGGTTGTTGCGCAGTTATCTGTGTAGTGGTTAAGTGTTTCAGCCAGCTCCCCACAGATACATTTTGCGTCTTTGGTTTTGTTGATCTTTTTAAAGTAATATGGAAATTTTCCATGGTTGGTTAACAGCTGTGTTTGATGGTGGTTGGTTGGAATTTGGTATTTGGTGGATTGAAGGTATCCATGAGTGGAGTTCTATGTCTACCTCGCTCTGCGTCCAGGCCCTGTCCCATCTTTCTCGTGCGTCTTCCTCCATTTCTTTTTTTATGAACTTTTTCGATGTTTTGATTTCAATTGGTCTGCCAGTTTTTCTAGCTTCGTTGGCTAGTTTATCGGCTAGGTCATTTCCGTCGATGTTGGTGTGGCTTCTGACATGGTGCATGCTGAGTTTCTGTTTCTGAAGGAGTGTTTTAATTAGGTTTTTCGTTTCGTGGACGATGGGGTTCTGATTGTATGGGTTTGCTAAGGCTTTAAGTGAGGAGAGGCTATCCGAGAAGAGGGCGAATGTTGTGTTGTCGGGGAAACTTAGTGTTTCTTTTATTGCCTCTTGGATTGCAATCATTTCAGCATCAAATATCGTTGCGTAATTTGGTAGCTTTATCTTTTTCATTACTGTGACTGATTCATGCCTGTCCATTATAATGTAACTAGCCCCGGCTGATCCTTTTGCTATGGATCCATCCGTGTATATTTTGTACTGGGTTTGTTCTGGCGTTTCGTTGCTTGTCGCAAATGGTACTGCATACTGTTTTGCAGGATGGCTTTTCCATATATCTACTTGATGTTGTACCTTGTCCGCAGTGTATTCTTTTTCATTTATGGAGTAGTCTTCTTTGTTTTGAAAGACATAAAATGCGGCGACCTCTTTGTCTAGGGTTATATCAATTGGTTTTATATTTGTTAAGACATTGAGACAGTTGTTGCTTACTGTTCTGTATGCTTTTGTTATTCTTATCATGGGGATTCTTTGTACTGAGATGAGTTTCCTCAACAAATGCGAGTTTTTCATGTTTTTCCAGAATACGGGTGCCGCGTAAACTATTGATCTTTCTATTGATTTAATGTAAATGTCTCTAAATTGTTTTGGCTTGATACCCCATTTGAGGCCTGAAAACGCTGCGAGACTAGTCGTATTTTTATAAGTTTTTGACTTTAGGTAGTTGGCGTGTGGGATAAATGAAAGATTGCGGTCGAATATGACTCCTAGTATTTTTAGTTCCTCTGTGTTTTAGATTTTGGTCACCAAACTTGACTACGGGGTGTCTTTTTTTATAGTCTTTGCCTATTGTTAGGTATTGGCACTTTTGTTTGTTGAACTTTACTTCGTGTTCTTTACTCCATTTATTTACGATTTCAAGCATGGCGTTGGCTCTCTGTTCTAGTTCGCTTCTTGTGTTTCCTTTAATTATGATGGTGACGTCGTCCGCAAATGCCTGTATGTGTGCGTGATCAGGAAGTGGTATGTCCAATAAGTTAGTGATGAAAATGTTCCAAATTAGTGGACTTAGGGGGGATCCCTGTGGGCTCCCTATTGGGTTTTTTACTGTAATGTTTGCTGATACTGTTTCGTATTTGATTATTCTTTCACTTAGAACTGTCTGGAGGAGGGCGTAGAGATTCTTTGGTAACTTGTAGTCTTTCAGTTTTTTCAGTACATGTGGTATCCATATGGTGTTAAATGCGTTTGATATGTCTAGGGATATTAGTAGGGATTTTTCTTTTGATGTTATGTTTTCTTTGAGGACTTCTTTTATCTTTAGAAGGGCTTTTGTTGCTGAAGTTCCATGCGTAAATCCGTACTGTTTGGGGTGTAGGAGTTGTTTTGAGTAGAGGTAGTAGTACAGTAGAACCTCGTTGATACGTTTTCCAGGGGACCGCGGAGAAAAAGCGTATCAACCGGGAAAGCGCAGCAACCGATAACGCACTTAAAGGCACTCTATATAAGATAGAAAGCAGCTCTTATGCAATGGTTTATTTTATGCACTTACCGAGCTCTTTTGGACTCAGACACGTTCACAAAAACGCGTAATATCCACCTGCCGCTTCGAATTAATGGTATGCAGTAAAAGTCGTTTCTCCAGAAGCCGCAGTCCCCTCTCACTCTCCGCGCAGTCATGAACGTTTACGTAGCGGCGCAAGGTGTCCAACGCAGCGATCGCGTCCGCAAACGTGGGTGCAGCGTAATCGTTGGTTTTTTGTTCGTCTTCTTCATCGCTTTCTTCGTTGTCGGCAGTAGTGAGGTCGGCCACAATGTCCGCTATGCTCGATATCCGAACGATCAGCAATCTCTTGCGCCTTCTCTCGCAGAATGCCTCCGTCGATGTTGACACAAGATGCCCGGGCTTGTTTGAACCATACCAACAGGGCCTCCTCTAACTTTGCGTGTTTTGCCCCCCGAGCCTGTTTAAAGCCTGGTTGGTAGAAAGGAGCCTTCGCCTCGATCTCCTTTCGTCTCGCGACGATACTGTTTAAAGTTGACGGCGCGAGTCCAAGCTCTCTTGCGACCTCAGACCTCTTCCGGCTGGGATTTCGATCCACCGTGCGAAGTATGTCAAACTTCTCTTTAAAAGAGAGTGCTTTTCTCTTTCGGGATGTCATGGCCTTCGTCAACGCGCACGCACTCAGAAACGGCACTGTTCACGCAGTCGAGCTGTCGAGCGGAACAGAAACTGGAAGTGCAGCGTCCCGGCGTGCGTGCGGCGCGTAAACAACTCGCGCCGGAGAGAGAGGACAGATGTAAAGAAAGAGCAAGAGAGAACGAGCGTTTTCGCAGAGCTCAGCAAAGCCCAGTGAGGAGACCGGGAAAGAGGGGGAAAGGAGTAAAGGGAAGGGGGGCGCCCGCGTGCCGCGCGGCTGGCGCGGCCGCGCGATCCGCGCTGCGTGGTTCGGCTGTTCGGCTCTGCTTCGCTTCGCTTCAAGCCGGCGTGGCACCTTGGCGCACGGCGCGCCGAGGCGCCGAGGCGCCGCGATTCCGGCACTTTTGGACGTAACGACCGGGAAAGCAAACGTAACAGGCAGGAAACTAATACATGTATCTCTATGGAAGTAAAACGGGACCGGCGTTTTTGAACGCAACGGACAGGAAAACGTATCAACCAAGAACGTATCAACGAGGTTCCACTGTATATTCTGTTATTGAGAAGTTTTTCTAAGACTTTTCCGAGGATTGAATTTATGCATATTGGTCTGTATGATGATGTATCGCTAGGAGGTTTTGACGGTTTTGGGATTAGTATAGCTTTTGTTTCCTTCCAGCTGGGTGGGTAGTACCCGTATTTGAGGCATCCATTGAATATGTTAAGGATGAGATTGGCATGTTTGGTGCTGATTGCTTTTATTATTCCGGTTGTTAGGTTGTCGGGGCCGGTGGCTATTCTGTTTGGTATGTTTTTTATTGTGTTTTCTAACTCAATCTCTGAGAAAGGTATGTCGTTTTCTGTTTCTGGCGGTAGAGCTGTGCTGTCTCTAATCACTTTTTTTGAGTTAGAGTAGTTCTCCGGTGTATCAGGAGGGAAGTGGGCAGTGAGTATTGTTGTTATGGATTCCTCAAGGGATTTGGTTGACTCGCCGTTAGGTGTAATGATTGCTGGGATCACTATTGGTTTTTTCATTTTGTCAAAAGCTATTTTGTATGGTATGCCGAAAATGTTTTTTCTTGTGGCTTCTGTGCAGAATTGTTGCCACGAGTCGTTTTTCGCTTTTTTTACATTGGTTTCGTACTTTTTTTGAGCCTGTAGGTAAACGCTTCTGTATGCCGGGCGCATTGTGCTGTTACATTGTTGGTATCTGCGCCGCATTGCTCTCGTTTGTTTCCTCTCCATTTCCAGTTCTGGGCTCCACCATGGGTTTTGTTGGGTGGATTCCCTTACTCTCTGTACGTGCTTTTTGTAAAGGTTTTTAAGTTTTTCGATTAAGATATTTAGGATTTGTTCAAGGGCCTCTTTTGACTCTATTTGTCTATTTTTATTTTTCATTAGCCAGTCGTCGTTGGTTATTTCCTCTATGAATCTAATCTCGCCTTTTTTAGTTAACCTTTTCGTGTTGTTTTTGATTGTGTTAAAGAGTTTAATTTCTATATAATTATGGTCACTTTCCGTTATTTCATCGAGTATCTTCCATGAGTTAACCCTAGGAAGGAGGTTTTGACTTGCTATTGTTAGGTCGATCCAACTTCGTCCATTGGACGAGGTAAAAGTTGGAGCAGAGTCTTGGTCGTTTATCGGGTGTAGTTCACTACCTAGGATGTATTCCCCTAAAGTTTCCCCTCGCCTGTCCAATAGTTTCCCTCCCCAGGCTGGGTTTTTAGCATTAAAGTCCCCCAGAATTAGTAAGGGTACTGTCTCATACTTTTCGGAAATTGTCTTTATCTCCCTTATGGTCTCGTTGATGTCAGCGTTAGGTGGTGCGTATACATTGATTATAAGGAAGTCTTCGTCTTTAGTTTTTAGTCTTACTGCAGTGATGTCCCTCTCTGCCTTTTCAATGTGTATATCAAATTGTTTCTTGTGAATTACTATTGCTGTACGTGGTTTTTCCTTGCATTGTATTATTATATCTTTCATTGAGAATCCGATCACTTTGTTTTTGCTATAGTAGGGCTCTTGAACACAAGTTACATCATTTTCGAAAGTTTGAAGGTTGGTTTTTAGTTGTTCTGTCGCTGCATACGAGTGATTAAGATTTATTTGGATTATGTTAAGTGAGTTCTTTTCCTTTTTTTCCCTTTCCTTCTGATTGTTTTTCATTCCTGGTGTTTGGGGACTTGTCGTCCTCTTACCACTGTTGGTTTCGGTCTCTTGTGTCATTTTGTTGTGCGTATTCTTGGTGGCTCAACTTTGGGGTTTAATTATATTTTGTTCTGGCACGCACCTTGGCCTGTTCGGGGGCATCCCTGGTCGTAAAAAGAGTGGTTCGTTTCGTACTTTGTGTGAAGTTTTTCGTTGTTATCAGTGCAGGCGGGGCACCTGTTTGGTAGGATGTAGCCCTCTGCGTCCTGTTCCCCGTCGCAGTGTGTGTAGTGGTGGGGGCCCGCGCACTCGGAACACCTCTCCACGCCTCGGCAGTTCTTGCTAGTGTGGCCGTACTTACAGCAGATTGTACATCTGTTAGTGTGTACGTTCTCCCTCATAGGGCAGTAGGTCCACCCTATGAGGAGTTTTTCCATGTGGTAGATTTGTTGGTAGATATCTGGGGTGACCTCAAGGATGTGCGTTTTTGTTTGGTCCCTTCTTTCAAATGTACGCATCAGTTTGATGTCATTACTGTTTCCCTCGATCTTGTTCTGTTCGATTATTTTGATTTTTAGTTCCTCTTCCTCAATGTTCGGGTCAACTGCTGTTACCGAGATCTGGGGAAGTCGTTTTTCCGCTATTCTTGTCTCGAAATGCCCCGCTGTTTCTTTTTTTGTTTCTAGCAGTCTTTGTAGCCGTTCGAGTCCCTCCCGGTTAGTGCTTGTTACAATGGCGCCCTCCCTTATCTTGGTGCATGCAAAGTTGTCTAACCCGAGTTCATGCGGAGTGAAGGATCGGTTGAGAGTCTGTCTTACATGTTAGTGGGAATCTCGTTAATCCATTCATGCGCGTCACTAATTAGATGACGAGGCATTTGGCTATTTGTTTGTTTTTATTCCACTCTGAATAAAGGGCAGAGGAACCCGAAATTGCTCCCACCGAGGTGGGAGCCAGCTGAGCCATGATGCCCCAACTTGGGCGCTTCGCCCACGGGCATTACCCCGCGGTGGTCATAGAGCGATGGGCCCAGAAACACCGCATCCCGCCCTGCAGACACCGCACGGAGAGGAGCTTGAGGTCGTTGCCCGTCAGGCCCAGGCTTTGTAAGTCCCGGGCACTTTCTGGCGACCACACTCCTCGGAAGTTAAGGGTCACCATGGTAACCGTGAGAGAGCCCGTTCTCTCCCCCTGGACCAGCCGCCGCAGCTCCACCCCGGAGTATTTGTCCTTCTTCTGGTGGTGCAGGAAACCCAATCCCATCTTCGTACCGACGACTTGAGCATCGATGATCAGGGAATCCTGCCCCTTGTAAGCCACCAGATCCGGCTTGAGAACTCCTTCTGGTAGGGAGTAGTGGGGCTCCCACAGAACAGACCATTTGAGCTGGCTCAGCCGACCGGACACATAACGGACGAGGTTGTCGTGCCTCTTGATCCGATTACGGTGTCCCCGGTGGCAACACTGTAGAACGTGCCCCAAGCTTTCAGGGGCACGACAGCCAGCTCTGCAGGCCAGGTCCCGTGGGCGGCCCCGGCTAGTCCTCTCCAGGGTGGGCTGAGCGTTGATTCTCAGCTTGATGAGGTCGATAAACCGGCGTCCCCGCAGCAAACGGGTTCCATCCGAGATCCAACGGTGAGCTGCTGGAGCCTTCCCGGATTCACGAAGGGCCGCCCCGTCACAACTCCGATGTAACCGTGCCGCCCACATCCTTTGGACCGCCTTCTTGTCCCGCAGCTCAACGCCTTGATAGTAGCAGGCGTCCAGCGCCTTCTGCCGGAAGCCCACCAGAAGTGGGCAGCGCAAAGCCTCCGCACAGCCTGGATGATCGCTGAAGCGTAGGCCCTCGATGCGGCGGAGGCGCATGGATGGAATGGACGCCCTCAGTGACACCACTCCCAGGCCTCCCTCTCCCACAGGGGCGTGGAAGTACCCAAGGGGGACGTCATGAGGGAGGGCCAGCCAGCTCCGCAGGGCCGCTCGGACTTTGGTGTCCAACTTCTTGAGGAGCCCAACCGACCAGGGACCCAGGATCAGGCGGTGGAAGAGGCGGGGCAGCAGGTAGGTCCGCAGCACCAGGAGTCGCTGCTGCGGCTTGAGGGGCGCCTTCTTCACTCTCTCCAGGAGTTCCTCCAGCTCCATCTCCACCCCATTGGATCTGGTACCGTCAGGTGTGAAGGATACCCCCAGGTACCTCCAGACAGAGGCAACACCACTGACGGGCAGGGGCTCGCCGTTGATGTGAAAACGATTGGTCGTCACGATCTTGCACTTCTTCTCTCTGGCTGAGGGCTGGAGCGAGAGCGTAAAGCTCTTTGCAACGTTGATGTTAAGGCCTCTCGGGGACAGGAAGGCCGCGAGGTCGTTGAGTCGCTGCTGCAGCCCTTGTGGCGTCGATGCGCAGACCACCAAGTCGTCGGCGAAAGCCATTGCGTCAACGGTGAGGTCTCCACTCCTGAAGGCCACCCGGGGATCCACGCTGCTCAGGAACTCGTCCAGGACCATATTGAAGAGGACCGGAGACAGCGGGTCGCCCTGCCGCACTCCCGTCGTCGGTTGCACCACGAGCTCCTCCCCTCCGTACTGAAGAGTAGTGTACGAAGTGGCGTAGAGTTCCCGGAGGTACGCCAGGAAGGCGTCATCGAAGCCAGCTCGTAGTGCTCCACGCAAGATGGCCTCCGTCGTCACCCGGTCAAAGGCTTTCGCGAGATCCACACTGGCCAGATGAAGAGGGCGCAGCCTGCAGCGGGCCTCATCCAGTACGGTAGACAGCAGCAGGATGTTCTCCGCACACCCATCCACCGGCTGGAACGCACGTTGCCGGAAGTCCAGAGGTGCCGCGGCCATGACCCGCTTAGCCAGGATCTTATGGAAGAGCCGCTGGAGGACCGGACCCACGGTGATAGGACGGAAGTCTGACGGGAGGGCAGCAGGGTTCTTCTTGGGGATGAAACTGGTGCGGGCTGCACGCCATGCCGTGGGCAGGCGGTGCAGCAAGAGGAGCAGGTTCATCAGCACCCGCAGGAGGAGCGAGGGCACGGATCGCAGGAGACGTGCCGTGAAGCCATCGGGACCTGCCGCCGAGTTCTTTGGCGGCAGCGCCACCTTGATGTCCTGGGCCGTCACTGGCTGGAAGACGTCGATCCTCTGCGGGGGCAAGGACACCGGCTTCGGGGGGAGGTGCCGGTGGAGACCCAGTCATGAAGCTCCTCCATTCCAGCAGTAGGCCCCGGCAGTCAGTGATCGCTGACTCGCATGGGCCGTCCAGGATTGCCCGTGCGCAGTCAGCTTGCCTCTTGGCAAACCTCTCCTGCGTCGCCGCGTACTCCCGCTTCTTTTTCTTGCGGCGACTTTCACGTGCTGGCTGTCGGCGGGGGCATCGCTGTCCTCGGTGGTGAGCAGCTGGATCCACGAAGACTTCACGAAGGTAGTCCTCGAGGCTCGAGAAGATGTTGACTCCCAGAAGAGCCCTCCGGGCGATGTCCCACAGGCGGGGGCCCTGGAAGACTGCAGGGGGTGCCCGGGCCAGCAACCCACGGAGCTCCTCCCGCACCCTCTCCTCCGATGAAGCCTGAGACTGGTCCCGCAGCGGAGATGAGGGTCTTCGCAAGATCCGGGAGGGGGATTCACTAGGAGAGCGGGATCGCTGGGGCTGCTGCACCACATGGGTCACAACACCACCAGGTGTCACCACGTCTCCCAGGTCATCCCCCCGAGATGGCGGATCTGGAAGTTCTGACGTCCCCGATGACTCAGGCAGCACCACCTCCACGGATGGTTGAAGACGATCACGCCGGCAGGAACGTAGGGGGCGCCTGGGACGGGCGCCCTGCGCCACGAAGTCCAGCTGGGACTGGGGCATCGGTGAAGACTGCAGGGCCCCCCGATGCTGGAGAACAGGATCCATGGGGCAGGTGGTGACAGCAGCACCACCCTCACTTCTCGGGGCCCCCTCTCTCAGTTCACGTGTACGCACCACACGAGGACACACACCACCCGAGCCCGCACCAGAGTCCGTCAGGCGCAACGCAGTTTCCGCGGCTAACCTCTGCACTGTTTCCCTATAGTTCAAGTCCTTGCGGTGACTCTTAATCGCTTCCAGAGAACGCGAGGGGAAATGGGAGTGAAGAACCTGGTTAATGTTGGTACAGGATGACCCCAACTCAACCTCCTTCTTAGCTAATAAGTATTCTTCTTCCCTATCCCACCGAGGCTTGATCCTATGGACGTCAATACGTTCGTTGTATAACGTCCTATGGGCATGTCGTACATGCTGAGTTAGGCCTCTCGCGGATGTGAAGGCCCTGGCGCACTCGGGACATGTGTGAAACTTAGGTGCATCCACAGCTGCCCCATCATGAATCTGCCCCCCGCTCGACGCTCCCCCAGTGACCTGCCGACTATCCTGGGACACCCCGTCCAGTGAACGTGAGAACTCCCCCACATCGCGGGGCTCAGACGGCCCCTCACCCGAACGGGGTGAAAAAGAAGCGACTGCCGCCTGAGCACCAGTCGCACCAGCCAGAAGTCCTGTTCCAGCCTCCCCAAATGTCACAGCCAATGTTGCTCGCACTGCACTCAAAGTGTCCGTGTCCACAACCACACCAACACTGTCACCAATGTCCCCATCGCCTCCTTGCTCCACAGGCACGGCAGAGTCCACTACACGCACACCGTCCTGCCTCCCATGTTTCTTCAATGAAGCATGAACCCTCAGGCCCTTCAGAGTAGGGAAGGACTTCTCACACACCGTGCACTTAAACTGCAGAACTGGAATTGGTCCACCAGACCCATCACCACCCTCACCGGGCACACCTGGCTCAGCTACACTTGGTGCACCTGCCAACTGGCAGGCACGTATAGTTAATTTCTTTTGTCTGTCCAGGCCAAGTGAAATTTTGTCGAATGGGCTGGCAACCCGAACGACAAGTAAATCTGAGGGCTGCTCAGTTTGCGATGTTATGCAAGGTGCAAACACATTACGTGGTTGCACACACACGGCTGCATGACACGGCCGTGTGCACCATTGCCGCACGTCTGCCATCGGAGATAGACTCCGATGCCCAGAAGGGACCACGTGGAGGTCTGCGGTTGGATTTTCCCCTTACTCCCGCCGTTTACCCGCGCTTTGATGAATCTCTTCACGTTGACATTCAGAGCACTGGGCAGAAATCACATTGCGTCAACACCGACCAGCGGCCATCGCAATGCTTTGTTTTAATTAGACAGTCGGATTCCCCCGGTCCGTGCCAGTTCTGAGTTGACTGTTCTTTGCCGGCCGAAGCATAGCACTTTGGGCACGAAGCCCTCGGACGCCGCGCAGCTGAGGCTTTCCACAGGAAGGTCCCGACGCTGGTCCGGGCTTGGCCGCGCCGCGTGAACGGCGAGCCCCGCCCAGTCCCGGTGCAGTGCCGTTCCTGCTTCAGGTCCCCAGCCCGACCGGCTCAGTCCTCAGAGCCAATCCTTATCCCAAGGTTACGGATCCGTTTTGCCGACTTCCCTTACCTACATTGGTCCATCGACTAGAGGCTGTTCACCTTGGAGACCTGCTGCGGATGTGGGTACGGTCCGGCACGAAAATCACACTCCCTCACTCGGATTTTCAAGGGCCGACGCGAGCGCACCGGACAGCGCAAGAACCGCACTGCTCTACGGAGCCACCATCCCTATCTCGGGGCGAACCCATTCCAGGGACTCGATCTCCTTACAGAGAAAAGAAAACTCTTCCCGGGGCTCGCATCGGCGTCTCCGAGCTGGTTTGCGTTACCGCACTGGGCCCCGAAGGACCAATCTCCGTGTCCGGGTTCGGGATTATTAACCCGATTCCCTTTCGGTCACTGCGGGGCTCTCTCCACTGCAAAAAAGTGCTCCCGCTTCGGAAAGAACTTCTCCTTTCCCTTAGGACCGACTGACCCATGTTCAACTGCTGTTCACATGGAACCCTTCTCCACTTCAGTCCTCAAGGTTCTCACTTGAGTATTTGCTACTACCACCAAGATCTGCACCAGCGGCGGCTCCAGGCGGGCTTACGCCCGACACCTTCAACGCTCACCGCAGCGGCCCTCCTACTCGCTGCAGCTTAGCACCCACTTGTTTGCGTGCATCTGCCGGCAGCGGTGTTGCTTGCCATTTCCGCAATTGTCCCCAACACTTGCTGACAAAAACCATCTTCCTTTTGGGCCTCGACATGCTCTTCCTTGCTCACCACTTCACCCCAAGCCACGATCCTTTGTTCCCTCGTGCGGCTTCCTAAAACTGCGACGAGCTCCTGTTGCATCGATCCCTCCCCGCTGTCTCGCTTAGGAGCGGCCGCGCGGGAAGCTTGTCTCTTGCAATCCCCTGGTTGCGTCTCCTCCTTCCAACTACTATCCTGGGGTGCCCGAGAAAGTGTGTCTGCAACCTTGTTGGTGGAGCCCTTTTGGTACTCTACAGTATAGGAGTATTGCTGCAAAGTGAGTGCTTACCGAGCTAACCTCCCCGCCGGCTCTTTCAACCTTTGAATCCAGGTTAGAGCGGCGTGGTCTGTCTGAATGACGAAGGTGGTCCCGTCTAAATACATAAGATAGGTGAGGAATATAAAAATACTGAAAAATAAAGTTCCTCAATCGGTACCGCCTGTTAGGCATAGCCGATTTAAAGCCAATATGATTTAAAAATATTGTGGGTAGAAGGATCCACCAAAAAAGAAATTTTATTTTATATAAAAAATGAATAACAAAAATAAAAGGAAAAGAAGGTAATAAAAAATAATAGGAAAGGGTTAGCAAACCACAGCCAGGGGAGCAGGCCTAATCAGCGGGCATTTATTTATAAAAATATCTATCTATAGGGTCTTCTATAGAATTAAAAAATTGGTGGAAAGTTTAAATATAAAGTATGAAAAGTAATAGAAATAGTTGTCTTCAATTCACAATTTTTCAATTCACAGTTTTTCACTTCACAGTATTTTAGCACTTCTTGTCTTCATTTCACAATTTTTCAATTCACAGTTTTTCACTTCACAGTATTTCAGCACTTCTTGTCTTCTTTATGCAGGTGTCCTTACACGGTTGTTGTCAGTTTCATTGATTCCCTCCAACCACAAGAGGGGCAGCCACGGTCCGAGATGCAAGGAAAATCCGCCCGGGGACTGCCAGTCCCGGGGCAGGCACGTCTCACAGAGCTCGCTTGTGGGCGGCGCTCCCATTGCTAGGGTCGACGGCCCCAGCGGGACGCCGCGCCAGGGGGGGTCTCAGTTGGTGGACTGAGACCCCCAACCGTGGGACCCCTCCGGGAGTCAGTCAAGAGTCACTTGAAGTTTGATGCCTTTGTCCATGAGATGTGAGTCAATGGAAGATTCTATTCCTTCTTCTGTATTCTGTTTATGGCAGGTTCCATAGGCGGCTCTCAACTAGGTGAGGGGCGTCGACGGTCCGAGATGCAAGGAAAATCCGCCCGGGGGTTGTCAGTCCCGGGGCAGGCACGTCTCACAGAGCTCGCTCGTGGGCGGCTATCCCCATACTGGGGCCGACGGCCCCAGCAAGATGCCGCGCCAGGGGGAGCCTTGGTCAATAGGCCAAGGCCCCCAACCGTAGACCCCTCCCCTCACGTGTCAGCCAGGTTCTCATTGCAGTTTGCATGCCTCTTCTGTGAGTTGAGAGGTGATGTGAGATTTCTCTCTTTGCTTGCATGGCTTGATTCAGGCCCCCGCCCGCGCAGGCGCCCCGCAGCAGTTCGAGATGCAGGAAAGGCCAGCCTCAAGATCGTCCCTCCCCAAGCCACCAGGGGGATCCTCAGGGAGCAAGTCCCAAGGCTCCCAACCAGATGGCGCTCCGCGGAACAGAAGGTCCAGGCCGAGTCGATTTGGTGATGTGTTGCAAGGGTTCAGTGCTGTATGGTTTGTTGCTCTGAATAGAATAGAAATGCATTATCTCCCCCCCCCCACCGCATCCAATCGCTATAAGTTGGGGTTAATAAGCATTCAATACAGTTTTTTTTTTTTTTCTTTTTTTGGTAGGGAGTGTTAAGTACCTGGTGATTTCTTTAGAAATTATCTTTACCAGTTAATTTTCCAATGGATTCTCCTAAGATTACTGGCTATTTTAGATTTGGTATAGCTATCTTAAGGTTTTTGTTTTGTTTGTAATTAAAATGTCGAGAGGCGCAAAGGTCCCCACGGCCAGTACTGTATATTGTCTTCATACAGTTTGTTCTTATTTTACAGCAAGGTACAGCATTTTATTTGTCCTTTTTTTTTTTTTTTCTTCAGGAGTGGAAAGTCAACCGTAGTTGAAAATCTTTTTTTTTTTTTCTGAGCTTATACCTGAAGAGGAATTTTTCTTTCCTCTTGGAATTGTTCAATTCCACAGTGCATTGAGACATCCACCATGAGACTTGTTGACGTTTTCATGTTTTCCTCCGGCAGTATAGTCTACGGCCATTGCGTTTTCTTTTTTTCCTTTCCAGTTCAATGAGGCACCCCAACCTAGATGGTCGGGGGGAGCCGACCCATCCCAGGGCTGAGCCTAGCTCGCAGGAGTCGACTCAATGTCTCTCCCCGTCCTCTGAACTCATGTCCACACACGTATGTGCTTTCCTTCTTGTTTTTTTTTTTTTTTTGGGTTAAGAGTGGGCCCTGGCCCTCTCCACCCCTAACAGACGTTTTAGGCCGGACTTCTGGCTGCGATTCATCTGCCTTTGTTTGGAGTTGTACTGTAAAGTTCTCTTTGACTTTTTTTTTTTTTTTTTTTTTGATGTGGTGTGGACTTTGGTTGTCCAAGTATGTCCAGTTTTGGACTTTGGTTGTCCAGCTGTTTGGCCTCGGCGAGGCTTGGTGGGTTTTTTTTTTTTTTTTTTTTTTTTGCACTGATGAAGGATGTTTTCATAGAACCGAAGTTGTTGTTGCTTTTTTTTTTTCAATTTGCTTTGGTTTTTTTTTTTTTTTCTCGGTTCCAGCTTAGTTTGTCCTTTCATTTGCCTTTCTTTTTTTTTTTTTTTTTTGCTGTTTTCCTTCTCCTTAGGAAAAATCAGTTTACTATAAATCCCTTTAGGACTGTTGTGTGTAGTGGCCATGGGGGCCCTACTCCCCGACACATTTTTTATATATTTTTTTTTTTTTTATAGCTGTTCAATGTGGGAAGATATCTTAGCCACCATAGTAGTAAGAATTCTTATTATTGATTCGTTATTGATTATTTTACGTTTGGTTTCTGTGGAAAGATCGTTTACTTGAAGGGCGCTTATCTGATTTCTCTCCGACAGAGTTAGTGGACAGTTCAAAACATAGTGGTTAAAATCCAGTGCCATTTCTCCACAAGGGCAGTCCGAGTGTGGTTGTTTATTGAACTTAAAGAAATAAAAAGGAAACCTACCATGGTTAGTAAGAAGCTGCGTAAGCAAAAAATCCGAAGGAAAGTAATCTGGGATATTCTTAGGTGTAGGAATCCATTGGAAAAGTGAACTATCCTTTCCCATGGTCATCCATGTTGTGTTCCATTTCTCGTAAAGAAGACTAACTATGTACTGTTTAACATTTTTCTTTGACCTTGGTCTATCAGCAAGCTGCCCCTCTGTTCGAGCTTGTTTAGCCAGTTTATCTGCATAATCATTCCCGATATTGTTGTTATGGCTTTTAACATGTTGAAGAATGAGAGATTGTTTAGTAAGTAATTCTTTTATGGTTAGCTTTATGTTATAAACCTGACGGTTTGTGTTATTTGGGTTAGCTATCGCCTGGAGTGAGGATAGACTATCTGTTATTAAGATGATCTTAGAGGGTTCTTTTAATGTTTGAAGGAAATCTAAAGCTTTTTGAATTGCTTCTAATTCCGCATCATAAATGGTCGCATGTGGAGGTAGTCTATACTTACCTACTTGTAAGACTTCCATCGTTGGTTTCATCACCACGAATGCTGCTCCAACAGCTTCCTTCTGGACTGAGCCATCTGTATACACTTCATAATCCACCTGTCTTTCCATGAGTGGCATTGGTTTATAAGGATAAGCGAGACAGGCAGATGGATGAAGTGCTCTCAAGTCGATTGGGTAGTCTAGATCGGTGACTTCCACTCTTTCCCCTTCAATTGTGTCATCATTCTTAAGTTGAAAGAGTTTAAACATGTGAAACTCTTTTTCTATCGTTAGATGTATCGGTAGAACTCGTGCTAGGATATTTAGACTGTCGTTAGGAACAGTCCTGAATGCCTTTGTGATTTTTAAAAGTGGTATACGCTGTACTGTTTTAAGTTTGCGTAACTGATGTGAATTCTTTTCGAATTTATAGTAAATCGGGCAACCATAAGTTATAATTTTTTCTATTGACCTTAAATAGAGTTGTCTAAATTGGTGAGGATTGTATCCCCAGTGAAGTCCAGAATAGGCACTCAATGCTAGAGTAGATTGAGCTACCTTTTTCTGAACATATTGTAAGTGTGGTAGAAAGGTGAGGTTACCATCAAATACCACTCCTAGTATTTTTAGTTCAGGCACACTAGGTATTGAAACTGAACCTAGTTTTATGGTTGGTGGACGTTTTTTATAGTCCTTTCCTATTAATAAAAACTTTGATTTTTCGGGGTTGAATCTAACTCTATGATTAATACTCCATGTTTGAATCATTTCCAATGTTTTACGGGCTAATAATTCTAGTTGAAGTCTAGTTTTTCCTGAAATTAAGATCACCACGTCGTCTGCAAATGCTTGTAACTGTGCTCCCTCTGGAAAAGAAATTTCCAGAAGACTGGAAATCAAGACATTCCACATAAGTGGGCTGATGGGGGAGCCCTGTGGGCATCCCATTGTGGCTTGTTTGACAAGATGGGTGGTGTTTGTGGAATAAGTTACTGATCTGTGATTGAATACTGCCTTAAGTAAGTTATACAAATTAAGTGGGAGTTCATGGGAATGAAAGTAATGAAATAAAAAGGGAAGCCAAATAGAATTAAATGCATTAGATATGTCTAATGAAATCAATACGTTTTTCCTCCCTTCCTCCCTGTTTGTTTCTATGTTGCGCTTGAGGTGGTAAAGTGCTAGGGTCGCCGACTTGCCATGAGTAAACCCAAACTGGTTGGGGTGCAGTAAGTTGTTGTTGTAAAGAAAATAGTATATGCGATTGTTCAAAAGTTTTTCTAAAAGTTTCCCAAAGAGCGAGGAAATGCAAATTGGTCTGAAACTTTTCGCCTCGTTGGATGGTTTTTCCTGTTTGGTCAACAGAACAACTCTTGACTCCCTCCACTGAGATGGGAAAAATCCGTACCTTAGACAAGCATTAAAAAGCTTTAGGATGCTGGGTGCATGAGCGTTACACAATGTTTTGACCATCTGTGGTGTCAGTTGGTCCGTCCCTGGGGTAACTCGCCGGGCCAACTGGGCGACCACCCGTTCTAACTCAGGGATGGTAAAGTCTAGATCATTTTCCCCATGCATTGCCGTCTGAAGGGACTGCAATACCTCTTTTTGATAGTTTGAGTATGACTCGGGATCATCGTCTGGGAAGTGGTATGCCAGAATGTTCTTAATGGAACTCTCCAAGCTTTGAGTTTGGGTTCCATCAGGTTGGGTAATAGGCCGGATAAGAGTAGGTTTCTTTATCTTTTTAAGGGCTAGCTTATAAGGTAAGCTAAAGATATTTGCCTGCGTGACCTCTGTACAAAAGTTTTGCCAAGAAGTCTCCTTAGCCGCTGCTATATGTTTCTTATACTCTACTAGAGCATGTTTGTATTTAACTTTTTGTATTCCCCTAGTATTGTTGCTTGTTTTTTGGTACCTCCTCCTCAGGGCTCCTACTTTCTTACGCTCGACCTCCAAGTCTGGGGTCCACCATTTTAGGCTCTTTTTCTCGTAAGGAACAATTCTGGAGAATTTCTGTATCCAAGCGTTAATTTTATCATACAATCTATGTATGATAGTTTCTAGTTGCGTTACGGAAGATATTTCTATGTCCCGCAATGAGGCGATCCACCTGTCCTGGGCCAGAGTTTCTAGCAGTTTAAGTTCACCTTTTACTGTCAACCTCTTTTTTGGTTGTGAGTAGGAATGGAAACAGGTAGTTAAAATGTACTTGTGGTCACTCTCACTATGGTTCTCCAGGATTTTCCATTCCATCACTTCCCTAAAAAAACTGTGGTTAACTAGAGTTAGGTCAATGAAACTGCTTCCTCTGCGCGATTCAAATGTTGGACCTTGGTCTTTGTCATTAAGAATATGCAAAGAATGGTTAATAAGAAATTGTGTCACTTTGTCCCCGTTATCATCTGAGTGTTTTCCGCCCCAAGCCTGGTGCTTTGCGTTAAAATCACCCAGAATAACCGTAGGGAGAGGATCGTAAGTAGTTACTATCTCTTCCAATTGATCCAAGATGATCTCAATGTCATCGTTCGGTGGGTTATATACATTTACGACTCTCAAACATTCCTTGTTAAATGTGACCCGCAGAGATATTAGGTCGCGTTGCACTTTCTCTGGGAAAGCATCAATATTCCCTCCCCTCACTATCATGGCTGAACGAGGTTGTTCGGAATGTTGAATTATTATTTCGTTTAGGGAAAAGCCGATTATTTTGTCATTGTGGTAATAGGGCTCTTGGAGAGCTATTATATTAGGTTGAATTTGAGCAATAGTGATTTTTAAATGTTCTATTGCGGAGTAAGAGTGATTTACATTTATTTGTAATATTTTTAATGGGTCAGCCATGTTTAAAGGAAAACGAATACTTGACATCTTGTTGGAGTTAGTTGTAGTTTATTTTGCTCTTAAGTCTCTCGATCTGTGCCTTGAGGATCGGGCGACCCGACCACATAGCGGAGTGAGCATGGTTTCTCTTACTCTGGATTGTGCTCCCTGCACAGCTGAGACAGTGATGCTTTTCGCCTTCACAGTCGCTGTTAAGGTGGTCGCCTCCGCACTCTGTACACCGTGGAGTGCTGGTACATCTGGATGCCAGATGACCATAGCGGCAGCACCTTTTGCAGAACAACACGTGGAGATTCTCTTCGACTGGGTTAGAGCTCCAGTCTACAAAGACCCTCGACCGTGCCTTGATCTGCCCAAAGATAGCCGGCGTGACCTCAATTATCACTGTGCAGAGTCCATCCTTACCCTCGAATCGGCGGATGATCTGAATATCATCCGCCGTTCCCACGACCTCATTTTGTTGCAGTATCTTCTGTTTTAGATCCTGATCGTCACATTTTAGCAGCCCTCGCAACTTAATCTGTGGATTTCTACGGAAAGGCTGTTTGGCCTGAAGCTTGTCCTTCAGTTTGATGTGAGAATTGATGGTCTTCTCCAACCGAGCAATCCCTTCCCTGGAAGTACTCAGGACCAGGGCTCCTCCTTTGATAGATCGAAATTCTGGGGCAGTCAGTCCTATCTCCCCAGGAAGGACTGCCGACTGCAGGGTGGAGATCACCTGACTAAACTCTTGACCCCGTGTGGGATGTTTTGGGAAGACTAGGAGTGCAACCTTTTCACTAGGTGTTTCCTGAGTGACGGTGTCCATTTGTGTTTGTTCCTCGGTCTCTTTCGGCTTAGTTGTTGTTAAACCCTTAGTCGCTTCTGCATACGTCTGGTTTGGATGAAGAGCCTGTTCATCCAACCTTCCCTGTAGGTAGGCGTTTCGTTCCAATATTTCGATGGAAATATTGGTCAAGTTTTGCACACTTTGTGCCAGGGCGCTCAGTTGTTCCGGGCTTAGCAGTGTTCCACACGGGGTCACCGCGGCCAGGTAATCCAACTGAGCCCTCCCCAGCCTGTCCCTGAAGGACGCCTGAGAGCCCTCCACACCCGACTGTGTTAGGTCCACCACAGAGGTCGGTGCTAGATTGGTCTGTTGAGCGGTGGGTACTGTACTTTCTGTACGTGTCTTCTTGATTTCTGGTTCGTGAGACGAACTCAACGAGCCTGCGCCCGGCATCTGTTTTTGTTTTTCCTGATCGGCCTCTTTTTTCTTGTCTTTCATTTTCTTTTTCTTGGAACTCATTTGAGTGTCCATGTTGGTTTGTGCTCGATCGTCAGTATCCCTTAAGGGAGATCGTGAGTGATCTCTGACCGTATCGCGAGAATGATTTCTCGACCACGACATTTCACATGTGTTTCAATGGGAAAAGTGTGTCTGTCTATAATTTGTGCAGTTGTATGTCCACAACCTCCAAACTCTCCAGTAAGGAACTCGGTAATGATACCAAGCGACGTGGAAAATTGCAAAACTGTAGGAATAAATCTCTAAAAGTTATTAATGTCCGGAGTTAACACATGTATTTCAATGCGAAAACTTCAACCACCAAAAACTGGGCAACCCGCGCATGCACATGGACAAGAATCTCCAGTAAGAAAGCCGCCACTGGCGGGCAAACGTGTGGCAAATTTCAAAAATCTAGATACAAAACTTCAAAAGTTATTAGCCTCGGAAGTTAGCGTCTGCTAACGTCCTTTGAGCGGCGCCATCTTGGATTTTGGAGATACGTCTGTATCTTAATCAAATTTTCATATTTTGATTTCAAATTTACGTAGGATGATCTATTCGTCGAGGGGAAGATGCGATTTAAATTTCAACCCGTTAGGTTAAGAAATGGTAAAGCGCCAAGTGAAAGCTTTTTCGGAGCGTTGAGGTGGAAAAAAGAAGATGGCGGCGTCCCTTGAGCCCCCGCCTCGGAACTTTCGCTGCTCGTAACTTCCAAACTAAGCTAAACCTATAAATAAAATTTTATACAGAGTGAGATCTCATATGGAACTCCCTCCCACACGAATCCCAACCCCCACCAACAACTTAGTGAAAAGTTATGGACGGGGCGAGATCCGTATGTGTATTCCTATGGGGAATGGAGGCTCCGAATTTCGGCGCCCGCGGTTTAAGTTTAATTCCCGTCTGGCGCCTGGTTGCCAACCCCCCGTCTAAATACAGGTAGAATTTCTTTAGAGCAAACATGACGGCCAGCTCCTTCTTTTCCGTCACGCTGTAATTGCGTTCTGGCGGTGTAAGGGTTCGGCTGGCGAATGCCACCGGGCGCAGCTGTCAGTCATGCTCTTGCAATAACATCGCACCGACGCCATAGTTGCTCATGTCTGCCTGTACCGCGAACGGACGGTTAAGGTCTGGCAGGCACAGGCTAGCCGTGGCTGCTATCGCCTTCGTGAGGGAAGAGAAAGCTATGTCTTGTTCTCGGCCCCAGGCCCATCTCGAGCCTTTGTGGAGCAGCAGGTTCAGTATACGTGTCAGTCCAGCGCACCCTGGAATGAACTGCCGATAAAAACCGACCATTCCAAGGAACCTTTGAAGGCTCTTCGCGTTGCGCGGCGGTGGGTAATCAAGAACGGCCCTCAACTTATCCTTGTTCGGCCTCAAAGTACCATCATCTACGATAAAACCCAAGAGGTTGACCCTTGAGGCCGCAGGCTGTACCTTCTTTGGATTAATCGTTAACCCCGCTTTGCTCATTCTGCTTAAGATGATCTCAAGGTGCGCTAGGTGCTCCTCGAATGACTTTGAAAATACGACGACATCATCCATGTGTGCCATGGCAAAGTTGAACTTCGCGTCCCCCAGCACGATGTCCATAAGCCGTTGGAAACTCGATGGAGAGTTGGACAATCCGAACGGAAGGCGGATAAACTCAAACAGACCCCTGTGACAGGTGAACGCCGTCTTCTGGATATCGTGTGGTGCTACCTGGATCTGCAAAAACCCTCTGCTACAATCCAAACACATAACTGGCGCCCACGTTGGGCGCCAGTTATGGGGGTCGCCTGTCATGATCAATCAATCAGGCCGAGTTGTATTTGCCCCGAGGAAGCCACACGAGGGAGCGCTATCATGAAGAAAGGTTTAAGGGGGGACGCGAGTTTCAGTTTGCGAAAAATTTAAAAAAAGTTGATTTTTAGAAAGTTTGATATTTCACTTCCACAGGCCTTCTTCCTCGCGATCACGAAGTTTTTCCGCTGAAAACTATCTCTAAATGGCCTAATTAATTACTTACAGCAGTTCAGCTGGCACAATATCAACTAAAAACCTTGAAAAACAAGTGTTTTTCGCACCCCCGTAACTTCGCGACGACACAACAGAGCGCGGTCATCTTGGTATCAAATGAAAGAGCATTTCGTCATCCACCCGTTTCCCGCGTCGGCTCTCGTCTCCCGCGTAAAGCAAACACATAAAAAATAAAACTTCAAGCGCCTAGAAACAGAAAGAGCGGCGTCCGATTGGCCCCCGTCGCCACGTCACGCGCGGCGCGTTTCGTCATTGGCCGGCTACGTGGTTGCCCCTAGCAACCGCCGGCGGGAGAGCGGCGTTTCGTCTGCTTCGCGCGCGAAGCCACTTTTTCGTTACTTTTTGTTCGCGGCAAGAAGTGCGCATCTCTTTCGCCTTGCGAATATCGGCTTGGAAGCAACAGTTTTCAGCTTGTTTTCCTTTGGACATTTCCTCGTCGCAATGGGATGCTCGTTCTCACGGAAGCGGAAAACGAAACAACGTTTCGGCGAACGCAAACGCAAGGCCTGGAATCGCGGCAGAATGAAACCAAGCCGTCCGGACGATGTCCCTTCGGACGAATCGGAGGTGATTTCCGAGTCGTCTCGTGCGGCATCACCGGTGATCCAGGACGCCACCGAACTTCCTTTTACCTCGAGTGCTGGATGTTCTACGGTGAGTGCTCACATTGTGCCTCGCTACGTGACGACCGAGGAGGCGCAGGCGTTGTCAAAAACGATCGCGGAGCGTCGTCAAGAACTTGCGTCCGTTTCTGCAACAGAAAGAAAGCTAAGGCTGACATCTCAGAAGCGACCCAGCATGTTGCAAACAGCCCTGGAATTCACGCTTATTGAAATTGCAGCCATTAACAACTTGCTTTTTCACACATTGTGTCAACAGTGTGGCAAACCTGGACTGACTCTAGAACAGTCGACGAAGCTTGGTCTAGCTGTGAAGTGGGTGCTAAGTTGTCCAGTTTGCGGAAATATTGCAAGCGCGTAGTCATCTCCACGTCATGAAGGATCTCGAGCATTTGAGGTGAATCTCCGTTCGATGCTGGCCACAAAGGCAATTGGCAAAGGCCCTACTGGAATGAATGACTTTTGGGCAGCAATGGGCGTTTCACATCGTGGCTTACACCAGAAGACGTATCAAGAACACCAAAAGAAGCATTTCCGAAGGGTGTCAGAAGCTGCTGTCACTGCAGCTTTCTCCAGGGCTGCCACCATTGTGAAAGAGCTGTACAAAAGTATTGATCCTGGACCAAAGATATCACAGTCGTGTACGATGGCACATGGAAAACCCGGGGGCACTCCTCCCACATTGCTGTGGGATGTGTCATAGAGTTTTACACTGGTCTGGTGCTTGACTCTACGGTTCTGTCAAACTTTTGCCTCGGATGTCAAGTGGCTGCTCCAGATTCAGAGGATGAGCACTATGCCGGATGGAGGAAGGATCACAAGTGCCAGAAAAACACCAAGGTGAAATCTGGGAGAATGGAGGTGGAAGCAGCGCTTATCTTGTTTGGTCGTTCTCTTGAAAAGCATGACCTGAGATATACAACCATGGTGTCCGATGGGGACAGCAGGACCTTTCTCGCACTCACTGAGAACAGGACTTACGGTTTTATACCTATCAAGAAAGAAGAATGTCTGAACCATGTGTCGAAACGTATGGGCTCTGCGCTGCGGGCAATTGTGGAAAAAAAACAAAGGAGAGCTGCCACTGGGTGGAAAGGGCCAACTCACTCAAGACCTCATCAAAGAGCTAACAAACTACTACTCGTTTGCAATGAAGAACAATTCCTCCAGCATTGAAGAGATGCAGAGAGCGGTTATGGCGACATTCCATCACGTCAGCTCCACTGACGACAACCGACACCATGACCTGTGCCCCCAAGGACCAGACTCGTGGTGCAAACAGCAGCGTGCTAAGGCACGAGGAGAGGAGCCACCTCCACACAGGTACAAGCTTCCTCAACATGTGTGTGCCGCAATGCTTCCTATATACAAGAGGCTCTCTGACCGAGCCCTCCTACAACGATGCCTTGGGGCTAAGACTCAAAACAGCGCCGAGTCTCTTCACAGTGTAATTTGGTCTTTGTTGCCAAAAGAGCAGCACGCCTCCCTTTTTGCAGTACAGGACGGCGTAAGCACAGCCATCCTGAGGTTCAATGAAGGGAATGAAAGTGCAATTGAAGAGCTTTCCCAAGGGCTAAGTCTGAGACTTGGAACACAGACGCTGCAATGTGCAAAAGAAAAAGATGCCCGCAGGCTTCGGAAGGCAAAATATCTGTGTGAAAATACCAAGAGGAAAAGGGGTCCAAAGGAGAAGGAGCAGTACTGTGCCGGCGCCTTCTAAAACACTGATTTCATTTGCATTTTTGCTATTCCCCGTTTCATTTGCATTTTACCAATAAACATTTTTGTCTTGCATTTGCTGCTCGTGCTTTGGATATCTTGAGAACCAATCATCCGATTTTATTTCGTCTGCAGCAAAATGATCCAGAATGTTATATACAGGGGGAGAAGCTATTTTTTTTTCCAGAGTATACTCTTGGGATTAGTGATGCTAGGATTAGCTGTCATATGTTCCCAGTACATGTGACCCCAGAAAGTTATTATCAACAAAACTACAATTCATTTAACTGTAAAATTATTTCAATAGCTTCTTCCCCTTGGGGCATGTCTTGGGCACATGTAGGCAAGGTTTCAAGGTTCTGATACAGTTTGTTAAGTGAGGCTCTGCTGCACAAGCAAGAGATATGCATACCTTCATAACTTGGGAACATTTGGATGTAGAGACTTAAAATTTCACAGAGTTACTTGTACTAGTGTAAGTAACATGTGCTCCAAATTTCATTCAGTTGTCTAAAAAATTGACAAAGTTACGGTCGATCCCCATGTTCCCCCTTAATTGCTACTCATGGGCTCGCTGAGGTCCGGGTATTTCCTGGCTCGCTGAGATCCGGGCCTTTCCTGGGCTTGTGAGGTCCGGCTCTTTGCGCGCTCCTGAGCACCGTCTCTTCCGTTGGTCTCTGCCCTTCGAACTCCTCTGTCCTCGCGCACACACCACAAGCCTCGCCCCTTCCTCCTCGTCGCCGCTCTTAGCGCCGTCCCTCCACATGCTGTGAGGCTCATTGTCCCCCACACTCTTCTCCACTGTCTCGACCTGCGGCCTCAGAAGAACATGCCCGACAACTATGTGTCCGAGGAACTTCACAGAGGGGAAAAACCAACTCCGCTCTTTGTAAGTCGGATTGTTAAACCGGCATCCTTTACCCGCCGGAAGAACAACTAGTGCCTTTAGGTTTTCCTCCCAGTTCTCTGTGGCAATGAGGACATCATCGAAATAGTAGTCAATGATATCTCTCTTTTCCCAGCTGCTGGCTGCTGCGATTTGCATTTTGGACGTGTACGAAGGCTTTTCTGAGCTCCTTTCTGGCGGGTGGATCCTGGACTGTGAAGATCCTTTGTCTGCCCAGCGTCCTGGGGTGGTGTAGAGCAAATCCGGGCTTGTAGGCTGGTTGTTAGAATCCAAAGGCTTAGGCTGCTGGTGTGGCTTCATAGCCACCCAGGGTGGGCTGGTAGGTGTAGGCGTCCGTTGAGCTGGCAGCTCCGGCGATGCTGGTATGAAGGGGGAGGGTGCATGCTGAGCCTGCAGAGATCCCGGAGGGGATAGGTTCTTTGGGGTCTCTCGTAGTCTGGGTAGCTCTGGGGGAAGAGAGCCTGGAGGGCTTGCATGAGCGAGTTTTGCATTGATGTTCTTTCCTAGCGGATGATTTTCAAGACCTGGCAGCTTGACTGTGCTCTATCTTCTGCCAGAGCTTCACGCAGAACCTGTGTGTGACTTCCCGAAGCCTCCTGTATGATATGAGGGAGGTTGTCGTCAGAGTCTTCATTGCTTCTCGAGGCTGGCTCTTTGAGTGTCATGTAGCGAAGGCGGCTCTTCCACACTGATAAGAGGGGGTCTACCTTGGCAGCACGGAATGGTACGCGTGATGCTCTCTCTTGGCTAGGTGGACTCCGACTGTCCGCGGAAGGCTCTAGCTCTAATGAGTGTGTATGGGCTTGAGTGGAGGTGTTGCATGCTGCTACCATCTGCGGAAGGCTCTAACTTTTTGCCATTCTATACACGTTTGCAAGTCCGGTCTCAGGGCGCCGCCATCTTCCTCAGTGGGGTGCGCTCTTGGGCGCGGCCATAATCCAATTACAGCGCCTTAGCAAGGGTCCGTAATCGGATTATGACTCGTCCAAGCGCACCCCAGCCAAGCAAGATGGCAGCGCCCTGAAGCCGGACTTGCAAACGTGTATATCTAGTTGTGTGGTCCACCAGGGTGTTTAGACAACTGTTTCTTTTGGATAATGATAGGATCTTACTATAAAATATGTTGATGATATGGGCGAGTTGCATTCCATTGAAATGGGCAGTGTTTGTGCGTGTGTAAACCATGTGGCCCTGGATAATTTATCTAAAAGTTTAAGTTGTTTTGCTTTAGTAAGTTTTTTGGTTGTGTGTGTTGGGTAGTCCTGGAAAAAAAAAATGTAGCTATGGTCACTGCCAGAGGGTTTGTCGAGCACAGTCCAGGGAGGAGGCGACGAGCGTTATGTCTATCCAACTGTGTCCAATGTTTGATTGGAAGGTTGGTGGAGAGTTTGGGGAGTTTAAAGGGTAAAGGTCTGTAGAGTTAATGAATTGTGCATGCTCACTTCCCCACTAGTCGGTTCTCTCCCTCCCCCCCCCGACTATATTTTTCGCATTAAAATCTCCGCCTATCAATACTGGTGTTCGACTGTATTTTGTTGTAAGGTGTCTTATTGTGATGAGTGTTTTTTCAATGTCGTCATGTGGTGGGGCATAAACGGAAAGAAGGTAACAGTTCATAGTTTGTGTTGTGTGATGGACTGCAACTGGTGTCTCGAGATAAGTATGTGGGGAAAATATCGACGGATTTTGTGTGTACTATGATCGCTGCACGCGATTTTGTGTGGTGTTGGATGACAGTGTCTGCGAGCGCGAATTAAATTATTTTGTCGTTTAGGTAATAGGGTTCCCGTAAGCGCGATATGTGAATATCCAT